AGGAAGGAAGGAAGGAAGGAAGGAAGGAAGGAAGGAAGGAAGGAAGGAAGGAAGGGAATCAAATACGTTATCAAATAAATGTCACTGCTGAGCAAAAGGCATTAACATCTGGAATATTGACTGTAGTCCAACAAGCCTGGATTCAGCTATTTTAATGGTAAAGTCGCCAAAAGAGAGGAGACCTCTTTGGAGTAGATCACTACACCTTATTTGGTGCAATAATTAGCAGTAAAAACTATATTCATAGTAGTAAAATAACAACTCAAATGCTATAATTGGTTGGAAGTATAATTACAACCAGTTAGGAAAGATCACAGTCAAAAAGAACAGAAAATCAGTTTCATGTCATCAGGCAGCAGCACCTGATGTATTTTTCCTTATTTGGAGACCACAAGCGACTCCAAGATAGTTCATAGTAGCCAAGCAACTAAAGCACCAGATATAGTAGCTGTCCACAGACTTCTGAGCAGGCAACAATGAAAGGTCTTAAACAGATGAGAAATGCAACTGCAATCTTTGGAAGTAGCTAGCAATTAATACATCAATAGCTTAACCACAGTATACAGAGCACAGCCAGCAGTTAAGACAAAGAGCACAAATGTAATACTGGTATCTAAATAAAGCCTGGATTTCAAATAGACACAGCTTCCTGCGAGAAAATCCCACTTGCAATGCATTTTCTTCTTTGAAATCTGAGCTCCTTTCACTGATAAATTATATCATTACTAAAATCTTAAGGGAGTTAGTTGGAGGCTGACTTTCTCTGACCCGCCCAGAAAGAATCCTACAACTCAATATTAAGAATTTGTATCACAACCAAGCAGTTATTATTATTCAGCAAAACAGGTACTTTGGTAGCAAACAGTCCAAAACAACTACCAGTTACACAAATTAGATAATTGATAATTAAGTATTACATTATATGTAACTTTGTAAAGTTGTGAAGTGGTTGCTTCTTCCGTAAGTCTTGGAAACTGAACATGTAGAAAGGGTATCAAGCGTTACCTGGATTTTAATTTGGGCAAAGATCACAACAGGCTACAGGCTTTCTGGGTATGAAAAAAACAAGGCAGCAAAAAGCCTGAGGACAAAAATAGACAAACATACCAGATTCAGCACTTCTTCTCAAGGAGCCTGAGAGAGCATGGCCTAAATTTGCACTTATGATCCATGCAGAATGTACAAGGGGTGCTGCTTTAGAAGGTCTGACAGCTTGAAGGATTACATATAGTTTCTAAGTGTTTGAAACAACACAGAATTTTCAGTGCAAATATTCTAACAGCCCAACTTCAATATTCACAGCCAGTTTTGGGGATCATGCAACAAAGTAAGCATAGAGACATGGTAGCTAGATCAGCACAAAAAAAGGCATCTTCCATAGCTCAGAGTATACTTCCGATAAAAGATCCAATTGCCTTTCAGACAGCTGCTTACCAGTTTTAGCATTATCAGATCCTTTTTTCTAAAAAAAAGAATATTTTTGAAGAGATTTGAAACGTTCCTAAAGAAGATCTAGCAGAATTCCGAAGATAATTTATTCTGACAACACTAATGCCCAAGGTTTATTTTACTCCTTAATTAGTTCTCTGACTTGTTAATGTTTCAATTACAGGTAGTCCCCGGGTTAAGAATGCCTGGGTTTACAAACGACCCATAGTTAAGAATGGAGCCTACGGTAGCAAAATCTGAGTTAAATACACAACGACTCAAGTTAAATACACAGTGGTTCAAGTTAAATGCACAATGGTTCAAGTTAATTACACAATACTACTTATATAGTATTATACAATAATACTGTTCTGGCTTACATACAAATTTGACTTAAGGACAGACCTTGGGAACAGAACTTGTTCCTAAGCTGGGGACTACCTGTACTAGATATGAGAATATGGCATAAGAAAAACTAAACTATGAATGAAAATGGGTTTAATGCTTGTAATTTCTACTGGTAAAGAAAATTACAGTGGTACCTCTAATTACGAACGCCCCTCCTTACAAATTTTTCAAGATACGACCAGCTCCGGCCCCAAAAC